CCTCCTCTTGGGGGAACCAAGCAATGGGCAGAAGGGACCAAAGGAAACTGCCATCACAGTGGGACTGGGGTGGGATCTCCCCAGGGGCCCCTGGTTTGAGGAAAGGCTGTCTCCACAGCCCCCAACCTCAGTTGGAAAGGTGGGTGAGGGAATCGAAGCAAGCTTCCTGCTTAGGAGAGGCATGAAGCTTGTAGCAGAGTTAATATGGAAGACAAGATGGGGGAGATGAGGCCTCAGGCTGAGAAGTGAGATGTGATCAAGAGAAAGTCAAGATGCCTCGCTGGGCCTGCTCAGAACTAGGGAACCCAGGGAGATAAGGAACTGCTGGGGGCTAAGGGGCCATACAATTGAGCCTCCACTAGAGCTGGCCCAGAATGTCACCAGAGAGAAGTCATTCTGGGGTCCAGGAAGGTCTTCCCAACAGGAAACTCAAGAAACCAGAGCCACAGAAGTGGTAGGAAGGTGCCTCAGCCTTGGAGGCCCAGGCCACAGATGGGGCTCTCTGTGTGGTCTCGGGCACGTTGCGAGAGGGGATCCAGACCCTCCCAGGCCCAGGCCCCTCCACTGTGAAATGATAAACCCCATCTATCCTTTTGGGGGACACATCAGATCAGGGTTCACTAATGTGGTCCTGGAACATGGCACAGGTGGGGCAGAACAGACTCACCCTAGTGGTGGGGGGTGGGCTGTGGAGGGAGGAGTGGGATAGAGGGACCAGTCCCCCTGTAGGTCCCAGATAGAAGGCAGAGGTGGGGATGGGGTGGCCAGAGATAAGTGGGACCCTGGATTATGGGATGCGCCTCTCACTGATCAGCTGCATGACTTTTAAGAGGCTTGCGTAGCCTCTTGAAGCATCAGTTTCCCCATTTGTAAAATGAAAAGCACAATACTTCTCTTCTGGGTAGTTATAGGTTTCCGGGGACTATCACATAGTGTAGGTCCTCATCCCCGGGAGCCTCCTGGCCCCTAAACCCTGGAAGAGGGTTCCAAGATGTCTCCAGACTGAAGAAACAATTGGCTCAGCCTTGCTAAACATCTGGGTCTGGAGTGGCAGGTGGCTGGAGAGGGGGAGTCACCCATTTCTAGCATTGATGTCAGTGCCTCTTGGGAAATTGCCTTCTCACCTCTCCTGGGCCTAAAATAGAACTGGGGGGTGGGGGAGACTATCACGAGCTTGAGGCAGCTCCTCCATCCCCGGTGGAGGCTCCGGGTCCCCTGGGAAAGCAGAGGACCCAAGAAGGGGTTCCCTGTCTCCACTGCTGTTTCTCAGTGACCTGTGGTCTCCCAGGGTGGGTTCAAAGGAGGCTCTGACTTTGGGCACAGGGTCAGGGTGGGGCCTCACCAGCGGTGCTCATGCCCTACCTACCACTCCCCACCCCATCTCAGGTCTCAGGCTCCTAGGATTCTTAGCAGAGGTCAGAGATCCTCACCCCCAGTCTGGGGACCCATGGTGCCCAGAAGCCCAGGAACTGGGCTGGAGGGGCCCAGCTTGGGGGTAGGTTGGGAGGGCAGGTGGTTTGCAGACAGGGCCAGAGAGAGGAAGCTGAGGGGCTTCACAGGTATCTTCTGCTCCTCAAAGATTTGGGCTAACAAGGGGTTAGAAATGGGGCATGCAAATCGCATGTAAGTGACCTGGCTAGGTATATGATGTTTGCAGGGAAGGGTTGGGGTGCTCTGTATGAGGGACTCAGGAGCTCAGAGACCCCTCCTGGTAGCTCTGGTGACTGCAAATCCTGAAGTCCTCCTGGAGGCAGGGGCATCTACGGCGCAGAAAAGCAGGTTGCAGGATGGAAAGGGATCTGGACCAAGGGTGTGGGGGAACTCCACAATGACCTGCGCCGCGCGGTGGGCGAAAGATCCCAGAGATGCTCAGCAAGCCGTTAGCTAAAGGAGCCTTTGCCCTTCGTCGCGTCCCTGGCTCCCAACCTTCCCAACTCCAAAAACCTTCGGTCGACCTGGGCGTTCCGGTCTGGGTCTAGGGAAGCACCCTCCAGGGTATAAAGCCCGAGGGGCGAACCTGGGCGGGGCGGCCACGCCCCCACACCTCGATCGCACGGGTCCCCAGACCTGCAGTCACCAGGTCAGAGCCCGGGGGTCCCTGTGTATCCTGCCTCCCTCCCCCTGCACATCTGCCAGTCTTCGGAGCTCCCCAAACGAGGGGTGGCCGAGGAGGGGGGTCTCAAGATAGGGACCGGGTGCGCCTTGCTCTGCACCTGCCCAGGGGGGCCGAGGTGGTGCAGGAAGTCCGGCCCCGGGGCGGTGCCTCTTTTGTCCTCGGTCTCGGCGGCCCGGGCCCTGCCCGACTCGGGGGGGAGGCCCGGGGGGCGGGG